AGGGACCGGGACCCCTGCCCATCCCTGCAGCCCCCACCCAGCCCTGTGGGTGCCCCCCCAGGGCCTCCCCAACTGCTTTGTTAGCAGAGAGGGGGAGAAAAGCTCCAAGGTGACCTGAGAGCGAAGCCAAGTGGAGCTTTAGTGTGTGTGTCCCCCCACCCATGTCCCACCAGGCAGGTCCCCCCCCGGGTCTCACCTTTGCCTGCGCTCATGGCGACGGGCAGGGTGGCCTTCCCTGTCCCCTCTCCAGCCTTCCCTGTCCCCTCTCCAGCCTTCCCTGTCCCCTCTCTGCTCTCCGGCCCCTGCTCAGGGATGGAGCAACCACCTTGACTCTGGGCCAGCCACACTTAACCCCACTGCTGCTGGGCCAGGCCACCAGCCCCTGGGCTCAGCTCCTTGGCTTTCTCCCCTCCTTGGATCTCTAACTTCTCCTCTGGCAGCTCAAAGATGAGAGGAGATGCCCAGGAGGACAGGCTGTGGGGTGGGGAAGAGGTGGGGGGAGGGTCCTGGTGAGGGTGGTCTTGTTTGCAGGTGGGGTTTGTGTGGCTGGAGGAACCTCCTGGGTTGTCCCATGGTGATGCTGTGGCCTCCTGGAGATCAGTGCTGACCCTTCCAGGGGTGCCTGTCCCAGGGGGGTGCTCTTGGTGAGCCCTGGGAGAGGGTTCTTAAGCTGCATCTGCACCCCAGAAAACCACCCCCTGGGGCTTGGAGGGTGCTGGAGGGTTTTTTTGGGGGGGCTGGGTGAGGGGTTGTCCTTCCCAGGAGACAGGCTAGAATCCCCCCCAGGTTTTATGGGGGTGCAAGTGGGAAGGGAGTTGGATAATGGGGGGAAAAGCTCCATTTGGGGCTGGGAGCTGTGGGGCTGAACCTCCAGCCCCTGCTGTGGGTCCAGCTGCCTCCTGTGAGGGGACAGGGCTGGGGACACACCCCAGGTGACAGCTCAGAAGGTCCCCTGGCTCCTCTGGCAGCCCCAGGCGTGGGGGGGTGATGGGGGGTGATGCTCCAGGGCTGCTGCTGGCAGATCACACCTGGCCAGCTCATCCAAACCACCTCGGGGGGCCTGGTGACCTCGTTCTATGGCCCAGCTTGTTCCCCCACCAGTGCCCAAGGTGGCTTCTGCAGAACCTTGTGCCCATTTCCAAGGAAGGAAAGAAAACAAATAGATAATAAATCACTTCTGCCCGAGCATGGGGCAGGTCCTGCAGCATGGAGCAGCCATGGCTGAGCCTTCCCTGGACCTCCTTGAAGATCCACCAGGCCTTTCTCCACATCCACAGCTCCAGGAACAGGCACCTCCTGCTGGTGTTGAAACTCTTCCCAAGCCCAGTTCCCACCCTGCTGATCTCCAAGCTGGAGCTGGGCTGTTCTCCCCACCGTGGACATTCCCCCATGGCTCAACCCCAAGCTCCAAGGCCACATCTCTGCTCTTCACCCCTTCACTCAGGAGGTTTTGCCAACCCCAGCAGCCCAAACAGGACCATCCCCATGGGAAGAGGCAGCAGAGGGGGGTACCCAAGCTCCAGCTTTGCAACCTGAGGTTCCCCACAAGTTCTGCTTCTTCCCTCCCCACCCCCCTCAGATCTATTTTTAGTCCTCTCTTCTGGGAAACTGATGGATTGGGAGCAATGTGAGCTGGAGGGACACGTGCCCACTGCTGGGCACTGAGCACATATTGACACAGGGAGGGATCAATCTGGGAGCTCAAAAAAGAAAAAAAAGAGCTGAACCAGCAGGGACCAGGCAGCCAAAACCCACAAACCTCTCCAGGAGGTTTATCCAGGTCCTCCCTGGGGCTGGGAGTGGGTTTGTCCCTGCATCCAGGGCTCTCCTGGGGAGCTGGGTGATCTTGAAGGTTCCTCCTAATCCAACACATTCCATAAAATGCCCAACTGGTTGTCAAGGGAAAGTGAAAGAGGGTAATTAGTGAATTCCCAGTGGGAAAAGCTGGACCCAGCTCCACCTTGAAACCCTCTTGAGGTCCTCTCCTCCAGACCTACCCTGTGGTGGGGATGCTCAGACCCTTCTTGGTCCCACCATCAGCCCATCCCCTACACCAGGACCTGGTGGTGCCTGCCTGACATCCCCTGGGACCACCCTGGGGACCTTGGTTGGTGTCCCCATGGGTGGCCATGGACCTCCCTGCCTGATCCCCTCCATCCTTTCAGCTCCAGTGGTTAATCTTCCTTCCCAGCTGGGACCAAAGTCTGAGCTGCCCCACCTGGTTGCCATGGAGAAGGTTGTAATGGTATTAGGAGAAGCAGCAAAAAAAAAAAAAAGGGGCCTTTTTAAAATTCTTTGAACTCTCAGGACTCGTTGCCTTCCCCAGCAGGTCCCTCCCCTGCCCCCAGGTCTCTCCCCAGATGGGGAGATGCCACCAGCATCTTCCCCCCCTCTTCTGTCCCCAGCACCTGGGCTGGCCCAGCTGGGGAGGGACCAGCACTGGTGGAACTGGGGAGACTGGTGGGATGTGGGGAGCTCCCTTGGTCCTCCCTGACCCAGGGCCAGCTCAGCAGGGACCTGGTGACACTGCTGGGCTTGTCTTGCCAGGTGCCACCTCCAGCTGGAGGAGAGCATCTCCTGATGCCAGGGCAACCAGCTCCTCAGCCCCACCAGTGTCACCTGAGAGAGCTGGGAGGGGTGACACCCCCCTGGGGACACCTGCAGGGACCAAGCTCCCTCCTGGAGAGCTCTTCCTAATGGAGATGGGCTTTGCCTGGTGTTCCCTGATGTTCCAGGTCATCCTGACCCTTAGCTGTGTCATGTTCCACTGGAAAAAAATCCCCCCCCTGCCCTTGCTGGAGCTGAGGACCTGGCAGTGGGGACAGGAGGTTTTGGCAGCTGCTGGCCAAGGGACACACCAGAGGATCTGGGTGTCAGCTCCTGTCCTGGGACAGGCTGGGGCAGGAAAGGTGGCAGAGGTGGCTCTTGGG